ATTTTTTAGGCAGTTAAATATACAAAATGAACGTTTCACATAAATACAATTAAAATCATAATCTTTTTTTCAAATATAGTCATGAAGTTTTGAGTCAGTAGTAGCTAATCCAAGTAAATATTTTTTCAAGCTATCATACATAGGTGTTCAGAAAGTAAGGGAAACCGATATATAATATTCTCATTATTTGTAACAATTGACCTGTTTTCTTGCTTACTAAACATTCTGTAGATAGAGAAATCTTATATAAATATTATACAGAGTGGTGTTTAGTAAGTATGGAAACAGATCAGTTGTTACAAACAATGAGAACAATAGAAACCCGTTTCTTTACTTACTAAACACTCTATATAAAATGACCAAAGAAATTTTTAAATAAGGAAATTTACTTAAAACTCTTCTCAATTTTTATTATTGAGTTCAATATTTTGTATTATTAAATTTATTTTTTGAATATTACCTCAGCAATATTTTAAATAAAATTTAATTACGAAAAAAATTATTTTCATGTAAAAATATTTTACTTCTTTTAAACAATTTTAATGATTATATAATTATTTTTACTAGTCATGTCTAGTTGTATGTTGGTTATACTTAAAAACCATAAAAATGTTAACAACTAAAATAAACCAGAACCCTAAATTACATTTTGGTTTCTTGCTTGTTATACCATGTTTAGTTACTATACAGAAAATTAAACAGGACAATACTTTAATTTTCTTTACCCGTGCAACGAATTTATTTGTATAAAATTAGTTTTTTACTTTAACAAATTTAAATTGGTTTATTGTTTTTTTACGACTTTGAAAATGATTATACTCGTAAAGAGTTAAAACTGTTCCTGTCGAATTTGGTAAAAACATTATTAATGTTTAATATCCGTATATCGAGAAAAACGAAATATAATGGTTCACTAGCTTTTGACATGAATTATATGAACTCGCAAACTTTGTTGTAGTCAAAAGTTTCATTAAACCGGAAGTTTGTAAAACGCGATTGAACCAAAAACAAAAAATTTAAGCCGTTATCAATTTAATGCATACATTTTCATCTAAAATTTCTTTTGTACTTTTACAATACAAATAAAAATGAACAAATTCTAATGAACATCGTATAAGATGACTTTTAGTAACACTATAGCATTGTACTGGTAAAGTTTATTTAACTAATTTTTTTTTATATTAAAAAAATAAAGCTCTTATCAATTTAAAATAGTACTCTAGTAAATAGTTTTCTACATTAAATCATATTTGTTGAATATAAATTAAGTTACAATATCTGAGATACATTTATTTTTCTAACTAAACTATATAAAACTTAATAACAAATAAATTAATCAAAAGCTTAGAAATAAGAGAAATGGGATTTTGAAAAACATCAAACTCATTTTGTATAATATTCATGAATTAATGGGCTGGTATTATTACGTTTAAAAGCTATTGTTAATTAAAGTTTATACTTCATATTTTTATTAAATATAGACTGTGAAAAATGTTGGTTGATACGCCACTTATATACCAACTTCTTGCACGTAGCATTTCAGAGTTTCCCTATTTTAAAATTCAAGTGAATATCAAAACATTTTTAATAAACTGATTAAAGTTATGATAATGGATTACATAAATTTTTCATACATTAAAAAATAATTAAAATATGCAAACTTTTTTTGTTGCACAGAGTGCTCTTAAAAAATTTGACAACTAATAATAATTCTATGAATTGGAACTAATTGATTGTCAATAAAATTTTAAAAATCGTCCAACCTTTAGTGATATTTTTTCACTTTCAAGAATTATTATTATGCTTTTTAATGAAACTATTCATTCAGTTCAACAGTCTGGTTTTAAATGTACTAAGCACATATAAAATAAAAAATAAACAATAGCAATAGTCACAAAAAAAAAATAATGCGTAGAGTGTGACATTTACCGAAGAATTATGGACAAATGTATTGAGATCTTTAAGCCTTTGGCCATAATACTGTTTGCTCACATATTTGTTAACACAAGGCACGTACCGTATAATTAATAGTTTCACGTGATACTGAGAAGGAACACGTGATTTGATTGAACTAATCATGAACGCGTTGTATTATTGGAGTGCTAAATAAAATAGTGCTGGTAAAAATACATTTTTTTTCTACATCGAATAGTAAACAGTTCAACAAAATATTAAAAATAATAAATTTATTATAATTTATCATATTACAATGTTATTCAATATGTTTTTTATTTATGGTTTTTGGAATATAAATATACATGTCAACATGTGTTGATTTAACGGGTGAAGGGCCGTGTTCCGAATAATAGTGTTTCCGTAAATAGAAATTTTACCATTTCGATTTGTACATAATTTATGGTAATTCTTCACACTTTTATTTATTATTCATGATATTTCTTTGTAAAATGTGTGATTTTTTAGAGCACTAAAAAGTTGTGGCGTCTTGATCGATATATTTGCGTTATTCATTGTAAAAAAATTCCATAGTATTTTAGGAACATCAAAATTTAGTCGGAATAATCATTTTAATCTGTTAAGCCGCTATGTCACATTTAAACTTATTGATGTTTAATTGTAACACTCAATGTCCAATAGTAATGCAAATTTAATTGCACGAGCTTAATATTGAATAATATCACTCACCGAAAATATATCAGATTTATAATATTAATAAAATTAAAAAAATTTTACATAAATTACAGCTAATTATTTTTCTATATTTGTATGGTGAGTTTGTTATGTAAAATCAGTTGTTTAATTATCATACAAAAACTCATTATACTTGGAAAAGGGCGATAGAGTATTAATTTTTGGTAAGAATTTTCAGAAATTTCTAGTCACGTAAAATCTCATGTATTGACATAAATCAAGTAAAATCAAAATTGGTTGCATTCAGTATCGTTCTACCACTTTTGGCAAACATCAAACAAAATTTGTTCAAATCAAAAATTTATGGAATTCTGTTTTCATTCAGATAACCTACTACTTGTAATTTAGTGAATAAACATAACAATGGAATAAGTTTACTACATTTATGTTATGATAAAACAAACAATTAAATTAAACTTTTTTGAATCAGTGTACTTTTTAAAACCACCGATTTGCATATTTAGGCTGCTCTCTTTTATCTTCAAAAATATAACTGTTATGGAAACAGTAAATTTCATAGTCTATTAAACAAAATGTTATTACACGATACGTATTAAATTGTTAACGACTCTTGTTAACTGCGAGTGGTATTGTTTTTAAACTTTGCCAAATCGTTGCTTTTCTTGGCAAGCTTACCATAGACCATTTGTTTTTGATTTTTTTTTTTAATAAAAAATATCACTCAAATTTGTATGAAATTTTTTGTTAAAATTCTATTTTTTGCGTTAAAGAAAAACGATATACCTAAGATTATTTATTTTGTGTTATGTATGAGTATTTGCATTATAAAATCAATAAATATATTTTTTTTTTGTTAGCTAGGTTCAAGTTTTACGACTGCGACAGTAAATTTTTGTGTTATATTATTAAAAAATTCATTGTTCAAATACCAATACATAATACTTTTATTCTCATATTATAATTTGTGAATATATTTATTTTCAAAAAGAATTTTAGATTATTTTTATTGTATTGATTTTACTAAAGATAAAATAAAAACGTTCTATAATCTATATTCAATCATTTTTCTATAGGTATGATAATTATTCAAGAGTATATTTTTTGTGTTTATTATCATTGTGCTTTCGTTGAGTAAAATTTAGGTCATCCGAATTCAGATGTCCAATACGTATTATTTCAGCCTGTAATTTGTCAACGTTAAGAGCATTTTAACAGACTGATGCACGCTTCAGTATTTTTATAGTTTTTTACTTTTTGTAAAACAGAGATAAAATACAAATAGACAATCACCCCATTTGTGTACAACGCTGCATTCATAAATTATAAATTATTTGTTCATTACAATTACATAATAACATACTATTCACGAATATGCTTTTAAGATATACAGAACATAAAATAATCTTTTGTAAAATTAATATTCATTATTCAGTACTACAAGAATAATGAAGCTTTCTAGTCACAATAGACAATATAATATAAAGTACTTTGAATTTTCAGGAGAATTCTTTATTCATCTTATGTCGTTTCTCTCTATTATTACATAAACATATTTGTTTATTTTAAAATCATAATATTATATTTATTTATTTAAATAAACAAAATACAGATTTTTACAAACTGATATTTTAAGTGTTTATTTTCAGCTGCTCTCCATTTTCGCCTTTATTGGATATTTTCTTGAAAACGTTAAGTCATCAACGTCTTTTTTTTATATTTACTACACATTTTTTATATTATTTTGATTTATTATTCTTTTGATAGTAAAATTTAAAAAGGGATGCTGATGTTGTAGGTTTTATATATCACTAATTATGTAAGAAGTTATTGAATTTTATCTGAATAACATTGACGATAATATTTTTGCACTTTTAATTTTATAGTAAATATCATGAAATATTGTTTACAGCGAAATTAATTTAAAGAAAATGTTACTGAAGTTTATTCGTTGACTCTTAGTTATTTTTGTAAAATGCCCATTGTATTGTTGATAATTTTAACTTTTAATATAATTAAAATAAATTAATCCCGTAAGTATGTTTTAAGAAAACATCATATTATACTCTTGATAAACTTTTAAAACCAAATGATGATGAATTAAGTGCAATTAAAATAGGATAATCAAATCAAGTCACAATCATTTTTTCCTTAGATCCTAATAATGTTTTTTGTTATCATAATTGACATGAAAATCATAAAAATATATACATTTATGTATAAATAATAATAATTATAATAATGAAACTAAACAGTTTGAGTTATTTTCTATGTCCATTAAAGTTAGGTAATTGGATAAAATTAGTTTATTCCTGTAATTGATTTTTTTACGACCAGAAGTAACATTATACATAAATATCATCATAGTAATTAAAGTCTTTATTAATTTTTAGAATGAATACTAAAAAACAGCATGAAAGATACCTCAGAGTAACTTCAAGAATCAGTCAGTATCGAAACTGTTGATCTAAAAGTGCGGTCTACAAGAAAGCGTTGGAAGTAACAGGTGGCCATTGATGTGCAGTCTATCAGCTATTGCTGTTACAACGTGACAATGGTGAACGACAGTGGAGGGTTTGGAGCTTTACAAAACGTTAAACCCAATACATTTTTACCGCTGTATATACCAATGGTAGAGTCTATAAACAGGTCAGATGTAAATTACACAGATCAAATCAAACGAGAATATGTAGAAGACTTCGTTTTCCAAGCAGCATTCTCCTTAGTCTATTTTATAATATTTACCTTGGGTATTTTTGGCAATGTCTTGGTCGTATATGTTGTGTTCGCCAATAGGCATATGCGAACAGTCACGAATATATTCATTGTCAACTTAGCTGTATCTGACATTATGCTCTGCGGATTGGCAGTACCATTTACGCCACTTTATACATTTACCGGTAAGTAAAATTTAACTATCATACGATAAATTTGAACTTTCACCATCACGTATCATCTTCTCAAATTTACGTTCATTTTCGTGATAATGAGACATTTATAGTATTTCAATGGTTAATCGATCCGTTCGTGGAAAATAATTAGTTAAAAATACTACGAATATTAACGTCCTAGCAAATTTAGAAAAAGCTTATAGTTTATCGAAAATTTGATTCTTTATATAGTCTCCAGGATGGCGATTGACTAGAAAACAAATTCACATTTCCAAAAATTTATTATGTTTTTTTAACTATAAAATAACACAATTTTTCACGAGATAGAAAAAAAATCATCACTTGTAACACATTTTCTAGCTTTTTTCGAATATTTTTATTGTATTCATAAAACTAATTTAGTAATATTTTTATTAGAAAAGTAGCAACTCCTCTCTACCCTATGAACGACAAAAACTTCTAAATCAGATTATAATGACCCCTTGTACTATGGTACATTATTATATTTTCAACAAACTTTTATAAAAAGCATGTTCAGAGTACAATAACACACACACTTTACCAATTGACAGTTGTAATCCCACTAAAATCATGAGATGTTTAATCATTAAAAATAATACCATGCGGTATTTAGATTATGCAAATTTTTATTTATTTATTGCATTATTCGAATTATGCAGCTTGATATGGATTTAGAATGACGTATTTTAATGTAAAAATATTCAAATGCTATTATTATTTATGAAATGAGATAATAAATTTAGTACCAGGTCTTTACTTTTATATTTTATGGTACATTAAACAACAGAGCTAGCATTAATTATTTCATTTATTTTACTTTTGTCATTACTTATTACAAAGAATTTGTTTGGGTTTCTATTAAAAACCAATAAAATAAATATTAAATTATTAATTTGATTAAATTTAAGCATTGAAAACTACTAATGTAGTTTTATTCTAAATTTCTTCTGTTAATAAATTAGCCATTTGAAAAATTTACCCTTCAATGGACTCATTATTTATTTACAAAAACAAATATAATTTATAAGTGATTTATTCCATCATATAAATTATTAATAATTGGTTGCACGATATAATTAACAACATTCATCAAATCTAACATTTCTGAAATTTTGTCATTTTCAATTTATTCATAATATATGTATTATTATTATTACTAAATATATCCGATTACTTTTGACAGTTTGTTATTTTTATGATTTATCGAAATAATTATAACTTTTATGCTAAAATATAGGAGTCATCAGTTTGTGTCCTTGTTGAGACATTCGAAAAGTATTTAATGATTACTAAATGAAATTTGTTTGTTGAAAACATTGAAAAAAATGTTAAAAATATTCAAATTGATCATTAGATATTCTGGTCCAAACTTGGTCATCAATTCAATGTCATTTTCACCTCCGTGTCACAAAACAGGGAAAATTACGCTACATGATATCAATATTGATTGATTTTGAAATCCTACATGACAGAACTCTACTTCTCTTTTTACAGCTTTGAACGTCTTCTCTACATAAAATATTTCTATAATCAAAAAAAATCACTTATACCAGAATTTCTATATGCAAATTGCTTTTTTTATTGCAGTCATTCCGATTGATATGGATTATTGTCAATTCCACTACATCAGTAGGTTCTATGCATTACAAACATATTTCAAGCATTTAATACAATTTACTTAGTTTTGCTGGAATATTTTCAATTTCAATCATTTTTTAGTGAAACATATTCATATGAATTTCAATATTTTAATTTTTTATTCATTAAATTAATGAATCAAAATGTTTAAATTATAATTGTTAAGAAAATTTTACCATAATAACTATAGGGAAAATTTTATTCAGTTATAAAAAAATATAATAATAAAAAAGTGTATTTATTTGATTTGTGTTGAATAACAAAGAAACTGCATTTTTTTACATGAAAGATTGAGTACCTTCAAAACATTTCATTGTAGCTCAGGTGTATTTATATGTTTTCTATTAGATTGGCCACAATTTATAAATAAAATAACATTTGGTCATATTGAATGTATACAATGCATTTTTAATTTTAATAGAAGTTTATTTGATCACAAATTATTGTTTTGTTATGTTATTTTCAACAAAAATCCCAACATATTACAGAACATTTTATTTATATTTTGACTAGAAATTATTTTATTAATTTAAAAGTTTTTATTATTTTTATTTATCTATAAATTCAATATAACGGTCCGAAGTTAGTTCTCCTTTTAATATTTTTACGTATTGCTTACAAGTATAATCTAAATAAGTATCATTTTTTGTATTGTTATTGAAGCAAAAAAAAAATAAATAAATAAATACAATGCTTCTTGATTGAAATGTTACTTCCAATACATACGCATATGTACCTAAAAAAAATATAAAGTCAACTAGAGAAGTTCAACGGAAGTTTTTGGACAATTAATAAAATAAATATAGTTATCACTTTATCGTTAATTGATCTATAGTTGAACATAAATCGTATTTATTCACTAGTAAATATTTATAAGTAAAATTTCTAAATCTTTTAATGAATTTAGAATATGGCACAATGTTTTCAACTAATGTAAGTGAAAGTATACTTTTGAATTATATCTTTGATTGTAGTAATAGCTGTACAAATTATATACAGTTATTACACAAGGGACGATGAATCTCTTTTGACAAGTTTCGAGTTTGGGTAGCTTAATAAAGCACCGCGTGAGCTTAGTTCATCGTTGCATTTTTTATACTTAATTCTATACTCGAAAACCTTTGAGCACTTTTAAACAACTCCTTTTTCTCAGTACTCTAAACTTTCTACATTGTCAAACATTAGTACGTCAATACACAATTATAAGACATAACAAATAATTATATTTATAATTATTAGTTAATCCAATTACAAGCTTAGTATAGCATATTTCTTGTTTGATCTTCGTAATATTTTGTTCCAGTTTTGTCAATCTTTTTTTTTTTTTTGTTATATTCAACAAAAGATTTGAAAAATTAGTCCACAAACACGCAGAAATTGTGTGGCCTCTTACAATATATTTTAAAGAAATTTTTTATAATTTTAAAATAGAGAAATTGCCTTAAATTTAAATTGCTTTCTTCTTTCTCTCTAATAAAAACGTGAAAACGCGTATACACTTAACAATTTTTTTCTACATTGAAAATTTGTTGAAACAAAATTTCGTTTCTTTTACACAAGTAAAGTCCTCTTTGAATGTTTAAATTTTTAAGATCATAGTATCCAATAACTGTCGGATAAAATATAAAAATATTTTAGGCTTATAAATTATAATATAATAACTTCAGAAACATAACTAGATAAAAATCCACACAATATACAGAATGATATTTAAATTATTAAGAATAATATTAGTTCAATCAAACAATATTTTGTGTTGGTAAAAAGGTTGTTAAACATGGTTAAATTTTACGTTTAAGGTAGTTTTTTTCTAGACGAATTAAGTTTGTTAGTTATGTTTGCTCGACCAGAAAGTTTATTCGTTAAAATAATATATTGTTTTGACTATCGTTTCAGACAAATTAAATACTGCAATTAATTTAACTAAATTATTTGCCAATATTATTTATTAATTTCCATATACTTAATATATAAATAATAAAACATTTTTTCATTAATATAAACTTTTATAAGACTTTAGGATCCTATTAAAATGTTAATAACTATTCAGTTGACGACAGTTAATATACTTTTTAATTACAATATCACATGATTGATGAATATACAGATCTGATTAAAATTTTCTTGAAAACCATGAAATTTGTTTACAGTTAATTATGGAAAAATATTTCATGTTTCCTTATCAAGGATTGCATTTTGATCGTTTGAATATATATCAATATGTACTCACTATATTGCTGTAAATCTCTAATTAATATCTATATCAGAAAAAATGCGTACTTCAAAACAAATTAAAATTAATTTTAATGAAACATTTTTGGCATAATAAAAGTTACTAGCCAACAGAGAGTATAAATCAATTACATTCAATCCTTTCTTTAAAGATAATCTGCGTCATATACTTAAATCTTACTGTCTATTTAAAAAAATTTCAATTTAATTAGTTAAAAATTTACGTTTAGAATTGAATTGACAAAAAAAATATTATAACATTACATTAGTCCTAGCATATGCGTACATTATAAATGTAAGTAATGTGTTTATTATTATTTTTTAACTGTCGCAAGATTCACAGGCGTCATCATTTTGTATTCATATGATTTAAACAAATGTGTGTACTTCACATCATATATAGAGTGGTTTTAGCCACCCACGTTTAAGTGTTCAGAAGCACTATATTGAAAGTTGACTTGCTAACTTTGTGCACAGTAAGAGCGTAATGTGTAATGAATGAAATCGCATTCCTGATTTAATTATTTTACACTAATATCTCATGAAATAAACCGAATCATGCAAGTGTAACATTTTAAAGTAAATAAATTTTACATTTAGACTACAGATAATAATGTTGTAAAGTACATTTTTTTACGTATAGAAAAAAAAACAGATTAAAACAAAGAAATATATTAATTATGTTTTGCGTTAATATTTTGGCGAAATATATGTTTTTATATCATCAGTTTTTATTTTCACGAAAGTTGCAATGTATAAATATTTTGTTTTTTTTTTTTTTGCATTACCAGTTTTTTTAGTATTATTACCGTATATCAATATAGTATAGTGTTGTGTTTCTTTTTTCTGTATTTTGCATTGAAAGAAATCGCTTACTACAGTAAAACATATGATATATTAAAGTAAAATGTATACTACACATTTAAGAATATCAATTATTAATGCTTCAATGTATTCCATAGAATACATAATTGGTAAGATAAAAGCGAAGCAATTTGTTTTTTTTTTAATGAGCCAATTCTCTCAATAAAGAAAACGATATTTTCACAAAACAGAACAATACTTCTAAGTTAAGTGAACAAAATTTAAATGTAAGATAGAAAATTACATCGTTCAAA